ATATGCTATTTCGGTTGCTTCTAAAGCACCTACTATGCTCAATATGACTACACCCTTCAAAATGGAATTTCCATCCCTCCTATCTACAAGATTGTTGGATTGAACTAAAGCATCTACTACAATGCTAAGTATACCATCAAACCTCCAAATATTGTCAACTTCCAAATCCTGCTATCTTCAAATCCTTGAACCCTATTATCTTCAAAATTCCAAATCCTGATACCTTTCAACCCTCAAATCCTAGTACCCTCAAATCCCTTGAACCTTATTACCTTCAAACCTCCAAATCCTATTACCTCTCAACCTTCAAATCCTAGTGCCTTCAAATCCTTGAATATATTATCTTTACTCGAGATTTTTCATGCATTATAAGAAGAGATGTTGTACTTTGTAAGAATGTTTGTTCACATCCAAGGCTATGTACTTACAATGCTACACTTTGTTCCTACGTGAAAGAAGATTATTTTGAATTATGATTGTAGAAGCAAGTACAATCTACAAAATGATCCAACAAATGCAAAGTAAATTTACAAAAGATCCATGTAGAAGATTTATTACCTCTTTTAATTTAATGGATGCAAGTTGGACAAACTCTGGTACTTTACAGTCACCAAATATGAGTACAATCACAACCTTTTGAGCAATAGGGTTGGACATCCTAATGTATAGCATGATTAATATGAAGTAATGCAAAAAAAGGTTGTTGCTAATATTACTCCAAAGGTTATCTTGTTAACTATAATACAAGTCAATCCAAATACATAAGCAATAGCAAAGACCATTCAGAACAATAAAGTATATATTTTAAAAGGTGAATTTGATAGTCATCTAATAACCCTTTTTTCTTGTGGATTAATTTTGAAATGAGAACTTTTGCTTTGACTATTATGTCAACAATGTTGATCAAGTGACATCCTTATTTTTTACACATTCTAGATATGTGAAGCTTGCTAGTAAGTATCTTTACACTCTAGTTATAGAGTGCATATATAAAATAAATTGATTCAATATATTGATGTTCTATATTATTGGCATGACCAATTTCAATACTTCTTTCATTGTTGCAGTTGCCTTTATATAAGAAGAACCTAAAATATACTATCAATAGGTACTTGAAAAATTTGTAAGTATTTAAAAGAATATCAAATTAATAACTATTACAATCAATTATGAATTGACTCTCATAAATGTACTAGCAACAATCTTTTTGATTGCCACACTACTTCTTTGTATGTGGCATATTAAAAAAAATGACCTTGCAAACTATAAAAAATACTTTAGAATGGACAAAGACTGAAAATCATTTCAATAATTATAAAAAAATATTATTTAATTACCAATAATTGAAAATTTTATCAAATAATAGAATATAATTTTTTAATTATATATGAGTATTTTAGCTTCACTTTAGTACCTTAAAACAATCTTAATTATATACAAAGAGTGCTTTGTGGAAGCATGTACTAACTGTGCATTACAATTCAGGAAAGTCAATAACTCTTGAGCAAAAGGCATGAATTCTATGGTAAAAAATTACATATTAGTCTCCACCAAAGATATCTAAGATGTTCAAATTCAACATTTTTAAGCCTTTAAGAGTCGGCATCAAGAAATACAAGTACACCAAGTATGAAACAGATTTGTATTAATCATTACTGTAAGTAATATTTGTTCATAGATGTTATAAGATAGATCTTATTTTATGCAATCAACTTAGTCCCACAACATATTCAATATGCTAAAAAAGAGGATGTCATTAAATATTTTCATGATTTTATACCTATGATGGCCTTTCTTTGTTGCTTTTATATATAGAATAAAATAAAAGCAAAAATGTGATTATTAGTGCATGATTTTTATCTTCTTTGATATCTTCTTAGTATGCAATGGCTTGAACTAGAAGTTGGATTTGTACATTGACGCATTTCAAGCAATACAAGAGCAGTTTCAAATTTGGATAGCCTTGGATCCATCTTTGATGAGGTTAGAAGAACTTATTAGATCTTGGTACTCCATCAACAAGAACATATGTACAATCAACTACTGAAGCTAGCATTGCAGATACACACATTAAAAAATTCATCGATACAACATACTTATATAGGTCTAAGAAGCTTTATCAAATAAATATTATACTCAAATAATTTTGTAATATAAAGAATTTCATTTCAATTTGAATTAATCCAACTTAGAACATCTTCTTAAGCTTTGAATGTAATTTGTATACAAAAGTATATAATGTATAATCAAAGTAGCTACAAATTTTTAAAAAATCATTTATGTATTTTTAATTTTAAATAAAATATATAAATGTTTTTTATATTAAATATTTTATTTTAATTTTTAATTGATTATTTTATATTTTTTTATAATTTAATAATTATATATTAATATTCATTTAAATTAGATAGAAATAAAAAATTAATAAAAAATTATACATGATTTACTTATTAGAGTAAAAAATGATTATAAATTTTATTTAAGAATAAAAGTGGAGCTACTTAGAAAATTAATATTATTAAATATGATTATGCTATTATAATCATATATGTATTATAAATTTATAAAAAATATTTTAGAATGTATAAAGAATATTCTATATCATAATAGATTTAAAAAATATATTTTAAGAACTTAATAGACGTATGAGGTAGGTAGCTTAAAAATTAAGTTATGTTAGGTGGCATCTTTATCAAGGGCATGAATCTTAAAGAACCAAAAATTCAATACACTCTTGTGTAACTCAAAAATAATAGATATTTACTTAAAACTAATATAGTATTGAAATTGGAATGACTATTGGTAAAGATAAGAAGACTAAAAAGTCTTGAAATATGATTAGAAAGGCATTGATAACAGTGAAGAAGGCTTCACTCTTGCCTGCATATATACTATCTAACTAAAAGCTATATGTTGATGTTCTATAGCACTTCCAATAGGTATCTTAATTTACAAGGCAAGTTTTTTATATGTGCACTATATCATTAGCTTATACCACAAGCTACCAATATGTGTGATTCATGGCTAACTTATTGGCCAATTTTCTAACCTATCAATCACTTATAGATATGTATAAAGGTGAAACCATGCCTAAGAATCATCTAGAAAGATTTTCTTTAAGATATTATTAAATTAACATATTTTTATTTGTTTATAATATCTAGATAGTTATTAGAATAAATACATATATTTGCAATATTATCTCCCCTTTTAAAGTCAAGTTCAATAAGGAGCAGTGATCACATGTTGAAGAAGTTCATGATGTGGTGAATTATATTTGTTACATATTCTAATCTTTGTTTCTTTTGAAGGTAGTTGATAGGTCCTTTCAACCATCAATAATGTCTCATTTCAAGGCAAAAAGACTAATATATTATTTGATCATTATTGAAGCCTTTGTAACTTTATTCAAATAAAATATTTATAAAACCATTGAAAATTGTTCCTACCTCTAATAGAATCACCAAATAATGGAAGTCTCTTCCAAGGTCGTGATATCAAATGCATTATATCTCACTATCTATTTGAGGAAGAATATGTCATTTTTAAAGGTCTTTATGTTAATTATATTATCTCAAAGGCTGTGATATTTACAAGATCTTATGTAATAAGTTACCAAATGATGGCTCTTGAGTTGAATCTGCTAGCCATTGATTAGATTTTTTTTATTTTTATTTTTATCATTAACATAATTTATTTATAATAATATATTATATTTTTCTATTTAATAAATACTTTACTTTATTAATCATGATTATCATCCACAATTTGATACTTTTGAATTTTTAAAAGTTGATAATTTTACAGCAAAAGACTTAACAAATAGTTTGTCAAAGCTACATGCAAAAATAAAGTTACAACTAAAAGAAGCTCAAGAATGACAAAAGATGAATGCAGATGCTTATTATAAGGAATAACCTCAATTCCAGGTTGGCAATAAGGT